ATCTCTCTCTCTTTCTCTCTCTCTCTCTCTCTCTCTCTCTCTCTCTCTCTCTCACAGACACGCACACACACACAAATATATATATATATATATAAATAAATAAATAAAGTTGATATAAGTCAGCATGAGAGACTGAGTGTTAAGATGGTGTGATAGCCAAAACCGGTTTGGCTCAGTGGATAGAGCGTCGGCCTGCGGACTGAAAGCTCCCAGGTTCGATTCCGGTCAAGGGCGTGTACCTGGGTTGCGGGCACATCCCCAGTAGATGTGCAGGAGGCAGCTGGTCGATGTTTCTCTCTCATCGATGTTTCTGACTCTCTATCTCTGTCCCTTCCTCTCTGTAAAAAATCAATAAAATATATATTTTTTTAAAAAAAGATGGTGTGATAATGCTGTACGCTAATGGAAACATCTTTGTTTTGAAGAGCAAGGACTAAGATGTTTAGGGGTATGGTTATGGTATCCACAGTTCTGGGTTTTTTTAAAATTTTGATCAATTTAAGGAAATTTTTTGAGAGAGAGAGAGAGATGGAAGAGAGAAACACTGAGTTGTTATTTCACTTATTTATGCAGTCATTGGTTGCTTCTTGCATGTTTCTTGACCAGAGATGGAACCTGCAACCTTGGCATATTGGGATGACGCTCTAACCAACTGAGCTACCCGACAGGGCCTCCAAAGGTTACTTTAAATGGTCAATAAGAGCACACACACAACTAATACAAATTGTGGCCAAACTCAATGACTGCTGAGTGGAGGTGGTAGAGGATGACTCTTCTCTTTTAACTTTTTGGGTCTCAAAATGCCTGTAATAAATACTGGTGGGAAATCAGAATTTTATTTCAATACATATAGATTTGCAGTCCCTCTATCAAAACTGGTTAAAACTTCAATATCGGATACAAACTGGTACAACTATTCTAAAGGAAAATTTTGAAATTTGTGTCAAAAGCTTTGAAAATATGTGCTCTCTCTACAACAAAACACCATGTGAGGAATTTTATAAAAGGAAATTCTGTATAACTAAAGTATATTGTTCAGTAAACATATGGGCAGAGTACCATGGTGACCAATATTCCTACAGATCACCACAGAAGCTGGAGAGAAGTTATCAGCAGGTGGCACCATCTGCTCAAGACCGCTGCAACAGGTGGGTGGGTGTGTATAGACATTGCAGCCAGTGCCACCACATGAAAGAGCCATTTGCAAATTTGTCACTCGTACTTTGTGGAGCTCCTTTGCAAATTCCACTCGAGCATAATGTAACCCCGACTGGTAACCCGCAAGATGGTAGGCAAAAAGGTCTCAGCAGAATTCACAGGGTTCACCTCGGCAAACTCCTTGGGCTAAGGAGGTGGCATTCTGCTCTGGCCAAGGCCTCTGTCAATCTGCTCAGCTACAGGCCCTCAGATTGCTGGCCCAGGCAGGCCCAAGACAGAAAGTGAGTGACTGATACCCACCAGCAACTGGAAAATAACTGAAAGCATCTGACCCAAGAATGATGGTCAACAAAGCTCATCTTTCTTTATCACAATCTGTTTTAATGGGCATTACATAAAAACCAACGGCTAACTTGAGTTTAAGAAACAATCAATTAATCCCCATTTCTTCCCCCCATTACACAG